TGTCCATGGAGTTGTTGATATTTATAATCATGGACTTCAGTCATTCTCTGTAAAGTCATACAAGCATTAGACCTCAGCAGTGCCATTTACAGTGAGCATGTACTGTATCTCAGAACTGCACTTTGCCCTTAACATTTGCTGTGTCCTTACATGAGATTTTGCCCTTAAGCTGTTTGCCAGTGCAGTGCAGGGGCTGCAGCACAGATCCTCTTCTGTTTGCCAGACCTTAACCTGTGCTCTCAAACCTGCTGTACTGATTACAGCTCCCTCTGTCATCCCTTCTCTGTGCAGACAAACCCACTTGGTGTGCCAGCAGCTGCTACCCACCCACTGCTACCCAGTAATTGCCTTTCTGGGTGTGTGTACATCATTCCCTGTACAGGACTTGGACTTTCTTCTTTGGATTTCAAGAAACTAGATAGGCATGGAATACTGTCGTATGGAACTCAAACACTGGAGGTGAAATTAGTTTTTCAGGTTTTCAGACCTTCTCCATTTTTATACAAGCAACCAAAGCAACCATATTCTGCCAGTGGAAGCATCAACAGTCTATGGGATTGTTGTGTTGAATGGGCTTTGTATGTAATTAAACCTTTTGTTAATATTTCAGATTGACAACAGTAACAGCTAGGAACAGCCTTCAAAGCAAGTGTTCAATAAAATTACAACTGGTACCTAGGATTTTCAGTAATAATTTATCACCATGGATATTAATACAACAAAATATTTCCTTACTTCTGGAGTAGAAAAGAAAGGTAGTCTTCCATAAGAAAGAGATGAATTTGGGTATTCTCCCTAGGAAGCTGATTGCACATCTTGAGTGATCTGCTGGGAGCCCAAGTCAGCTCCCAGAGCAGTGGTGCTCAGCTGATTGACAGCTGAAATTCCTAAGGTCCAGACTGTGCTGCTTTGTTTTCACACAACCACTGACAACCCAGTGTATCTCATCAAAAGAGTGGTTCTCTCATGGTCCGTCTGGGTGCTACTTTTACTGAAATAGTCTTCTTTCTGTAACCCTAAATATTTCTGTTTTCCTTACTGCCTATCCTGCAAATAGAAGCAGCTTTTTATTGTACTCTAGTCATCTCTCCACCCCGCTGTGCTCATTTGCCTCTTTCAGTCATCCAGAGAAGCCTGTCCCTCAAGCACAACACTCATTTCTCTTTGCAGAAGTCTGAGGCTGTGCATATGTACACTTTGATGAGGTCCCTAAAAGATTGCCCCATTCCTGGTGCAGCCTTTGTAAAAACCCAAAAGCATACGAAATATTATTTCCCTGTTTCTCTCTCCACATACACCACAGATTTTGATGGCTTGGTTTTCCTCAGACACGGTACCCTCCAGTTTGCTTTCTACAGATGTTTCTTGTTCTCTTTCAGTTTTAGCACTGCCTGCTTTTTACACAGATTCACTATTCAGCTACGTCTTTGTTTTGCCATGGAAATCATGATCAACCTCTTCAAGATCTGTCAAGTGGCTTCAACAACAAAAATGGTGCAAGTGGAGAATCAGAGACTCTGGTTCAGTCTTCCAAATGTCATCTTTTACTTATGCTTCCACTCTTTTACTCCTTATATATAGTTGCTGAGTCTAACAAGGCTATCAGTTCAATCACTTCATGTTTTATTATTCTACAGATTTTTACATACTTGTATAACACTAATAATCATGATCCTTCTCTGTTGCCCATACAGAAAGAAGGCAAAGTTTTTACCACACATTATCTGATCTTATGTGGTTTGGGTTTAAAGGGGGTTTTAAACATATATTTTTGTACCTCGTATAACTCTTATTAAGTCAAATTTGACATTTTTTAATATAAATGTATTGTCAGCCTTAATTTTAGTTAGTCTTGTAGTAAAACATCGTGACCACATTTGTTCCTTACTTTCTTCTCTTTAGAAAGCATACACAGCTAAGTTTGAAGTATTCCGAGGATTCTTTAGAAATTCACCATTGTTGGTTCTTTTTTTGCTCAGTTATTAACATTAGATTTGAACTATCCTCTTCCTACAAAAGTTTTAGATCAGTCCTTTATTTTTTTCCAGTGATCAAACTCCTTGTTTCTCTCTTATTCTCTTTAAATCATACTCCTAGAAGGCTACACTACTGTCTTCTGTCTCATTCTGCTTCTTTTTTTTTTCTTTTTTTTTTCTTTTTCATGGAGGGGGCATGCTTTGGGGGGGGGTTTCAGTTGTTTATTATTTTATTATTACTTGGAATTTTCTATTAAGATGGGATGCAGCATTCTGGATAATTCTGCTGGGAAAGCTTTCAAAAATACATATAAAGCATATAAATAAGTTGATTTGCATAAAGGCATTGATTAAATGAATCTTTGATTATTCTATTGGTTTAGGACAAGAAAAGCCATTTAGCAATTCTTCCATTTAGGAAGCTAAATGGCTGAAATGTCTCTACTTTGTCTATTTTGTGTGTGTTTAGTCTGAATGCCCATATGGGGGCTGTTGGTTTAAATCTCAGTTAATAGGGTTTTTAATTTGACAGGAGGTTGCCAGCTACTTCTAGAAGAAAATTCATTTTGCTGTTTTTGTGCAGAGCTGCCTCTATCTGGTACCAGCCCAACCCTCCAGGATGTCTCACTCTCCCAGTCTGGTGGCTGCAGTCACACAAGGTGCCTTGTGCAGGACCCTGCCCATTGCTGGAGCACCAGGGCCCTGCCATGTGCACCCCAGAACAGCTGCCTGGCGTGTCTGGGTGCTACCCCTTGGGCTGAGAAGCACTTCCTCAGGGCAGAAATCTTGCCCTAAGAAGTTAAATAACACAGGCAGCAGGACAGGCAGCAGAGCTGTGCTGCTCATGCTCCCTTTCCTGGGAAATCAGGAAAAAGGAGGAGGCAGCCTGTAAAGAGCTGGGACACAGAGGGATTGGGAAAGTGGGCAGTAAAAGGAAATCATGAGACTATATGGGAGTTATTTGTGAATGCATGTATATATCCATACATATAAATGCATATGTATGTTTTGCATGTATATCTGGAGATGCATGGCACAGGACTGGAGAGCAGAGGAGGAAGAAGGCCAGAGTCCATCCAAGACTTCTACCCATGTGAGCAAAACTAAGGAAGGGTCAGTCTCACTTCAGGAACATATGACAAGCACAGCATCTAAGAAGTGCAAGGAGATTTTGCACAAGGTTTTGTGACATAACTATTCTTTATTTTCAGGTGCTTGTTAAAAAAGCTATGCATATTTACTCCAATTAGCAGATGGACATACATTTTTCTTCCCTTACCTCAGTTCCTGTACAAGTCTGCAGCACCCTTTCAGAGCTCTAGGTACTACAGCTTTTCCTCAGAATCAACCTTTTTTTTCCTCTTGCCTAGATCAGTTTGCTGCCTCTGATACTGAGTCCCTACAATAAAACAGAAATCTCCTCCTGAAAGAAATCCTGTCCCTTCCTCTAATTTGTTCTAGTTACTTGACAGTGTCTCCTGCTTTTCTCCTCTATTTTTTGTCTTGTTCTTACTGTATATCGCTCCTGTTTGGAGTCTTCAATTTTCATATTCCTGTGGACAGTAAAACAACCCATGGCTTTTTTTAATAGCAGTATCCTTTACCAAAATGTCCAGTGTCTAGTGAATAAATAGATGTCATCCACTGATGCCCAGACAGGCATCTTTCATTCTGCTATGGCGACTCACTGAAAATTCACAATTGATTTAGTCTTCAAGCACACATACTTTGTAAATTGTGTAAAAATTACTCTCCTTCTCCAGTCCAGCATATTGAATACATTTTGATAATTTCAATTTTAAAGGTGTTGAACCTGTTTCTCTTTAGAATAGCATTGCTCAAATAACAGCAGTTTCATCTGCCTCATTTCTAGCACTGAGGGGAATGCTCTACCATCTACTGTATTACATATTCTTGTGGATTTTCTCCAGCAGCTACTTATGACAACTGCAAGCTTGTTTTACCCTGGGGATATATATGTATGTGGCCAATTGCTTCAGGTCATATTCCTTCCAAATGGAAGTCAGCTTGACAGCTGTTAATTTGCACTTGGCCATTCCATGTGTTGTTTTGCTCTAATTATTGGTCACTGTATGGAACAGGTGACAAATGCCCACATGAGAACCCTGTAAATTACTAGATGTATGGTCATTAGGAAAACAAACAGGAAAGGTCGTTAAATACTGGTTTTCTCTCCAGCCCCAAACAGAAATAGATTTTTGCTTGTTTTGACATCTGTTGGAAAGGGATGGAAAGAGGTGAAAATACCTTACTTTTTATGAAACTGACTTCCCATTTTGTAAGTGTCCTAGTTTCAGGAAAAGAGGGGAATTTAAGGAAAATGCAGTTGTTTTAGGACCAGATGCAGAATCTGGTCTATCTAATGATTTTGTGACAAGGCTTGATTAGGTTTCTTTCCCAAGTAAAACTAAATGTGCCTAGCAAAATATTTCATCTGACTTTCAGCTACTACAGCTATATTGAATTAAAGCAGGAAAAGAAATTTCCTTTCTGAACAAGACAGTACTTGCTGAACAAGAATGGCAAGACACCATTATAGTGAGTTTTCCTTCCATTGAAGTGTGGCACTGCAGAGGATATTTAAATGAAATTTGTTTTCTCAAGCTCCCAGGATGTAAATTGAACCTTAATTTGGGCCAGATTATGTAAGGACATAAACAGAGGACTTGTTTTGTTCCTGGGAATAGTAACTCTTGAATTTTTGCAGAATTATAGACCTGTCTGTAATAAAAATTATGAATCATTTATTTGTTCTCAGTGGACCTGCATTAGTGAAAACAAGATTCAGCATCTTGGAGTCTTAGTGACATTTCTGCTTTTAGACCTGTAAGCTGAAGATCTGCAGCTTGTTCTTTGGGAGATGTCTTGTGATGTCATGCTTTCATGGTAGAACAATACCAGAGGGACAACACAGAATCAAGTGCTATTCTAAAACTTGAGCTTAAATTCACCTCACCTCTAAATAATATCCCACTTTGTTTTATTTTTGCCTTTTAAAATTAGGTGTAAGTGCAACCTTCATGCTACTGGCTGTAAAGAAGAAAACAAAAGACTACTTTGTGAATGTGAGCATAACACAACGGGCCCAGACTGTGGAAAATGCAAGAAGAATTATCAGGGCCGACCGTGGAGCCCTGGTTCTTATCTGCCTATACCTAAGGGCACTGCTAATATCTGTAAGTAGTTTTGTATAATAAGGATATTTCATTATTATAATTCTGCCCCATATTATGACTCTAAAGGAAGATTCATGTTGGCAAAGGTTTGTCATTGCTTTCTGGCTCAGTGTGTATAATTGGACAAGGTGTCAGTTTGTAAGTGCTAATTTTAAGTGTACATCATCTGTTCTCTCACGTTTGTAAATAACTTCCAGGAGAACCACATGTTTATATCCATAAACACATCCCTGGACACTGCACAGAAAGGGCTAAGGAATGAAAAAATTAGGCTCTTCATATAAAAAACACACACAGGTGAGAGAAAACAGTGGGAATAACTGCAGTACTGCTCCAGCCACAGTGCCCTCAGCTCTCCATTCATACATCCTTATTGGCTTGAGATTGGTGACACTCTCAGCTCAACATGTGAAAAACTTGCTCATTTTTTGTCCATTTAAAAAAAGAGAAAAAAAAAAACCAGCTCTGGCCAAATTTTTCATATTACTAACTAAAGATCTAAAGGTTGGGAAACATTTCTCTGATGTCGACCTGCAGTCCAGATTCAGATGCACTCTTGTAGATCAAGTGTTGAAGAGAGAAAGCGAGGGCAAAACCTGAGGTTTTACATCTGCTTGTTTCCAGCTAACAGCCACTCCACAACGTGTCCTATTCCAGCCCACTTCCATATTATCCAAGGGAAGAAGTTACTGACTGCTCTGTTTCCTGGTCCTGGGCAGAACTGGGTCAAAGTAAAACATGATGGTGAAAGAGAGGGCACAAAGTATGACCATCAGTTCTCCCTTCATGCATATATGAAATACACAGTGATTCAGAACCCTCCTGAACTGAGTAACAGACTTAAATTCCTTTGAAGAAAGGACTTGAAATGAGGATAAACCTTTTGACAGAAGTTTCTAGCTCCTTTTAAGAAATGAGTCCACAGTTTTGCCCTCATTAAAAGCAAAACATTCATTTTAAAATATTAGATATAACAATTTATTGAAAAAGTTATTTGAGAGAAACAGAGCTATGTATGCAGCTGAATGAAAAGTTTAAAACCAGGAGCAGTGTGCAATGCTCAGAATGTTATCTAAGACTTCAAAGCAGCAGCTGTGAAGAATCAAAACTCAGAAATGAAGATCATAGGAAGCAGGACCTTATCAAGTAAAATGCGAGAGTAATAGACTAAGTAACAAACCGTGAAGTGTGGGGGCATGAAATTATGATAAAATTCTTACTGAGCAGAAAAAAAATGAACTTCCAAAAAGCAAGGAAAAACATTTTGTAAGAGGATTCACTTTTTTTCGCATGTTATAAAAAGTGAGTGGGGCTCACAGAATTAATACTTTAAAGCTATGTTTGGGAAATATGGTGAGATTTGCCAGGTTGATTTTTAGCTAAATTCAGCTTGCTGTGTCATTTACCTCATTCCCAGTCAGCTGAGCACACACCAGACGGAACATTGGAATTAGCACCTACTGAAAGGGTGTCTAAAGCTTTTTAAATTAACTTTATGTTAAAACAACGTTAGTGAATTTCAGCAAATATACAGTTTCATCAAAAATCAAAATGTTTTGTAAATAATAGGTAGTCATTTCTGGGGATGATGATGATGATGAATCATTAAAACATAACCTTGTTTGAGCTGACAAATGCTCCACTTACCCTCAAATCCTGACTTCAGCAGTGATCAGCAGCAGGAATTTATGGCAAACAGGAAGAAGCACGAAGGATTTCTTCTTCACCTTCTCAGTTACCATGAAATAAATTGTCTTTCTGAGCTGGACTGCAGGGGTTGCTTCCTGCTGAACAGAGAGAGACCCAGCTGACATAAGCTTGACCTCAGTGATACCTTATGGCAATACATTTCAAATTTTAGTGAGACAATGACTGAAAGGTATTTTATTTTGCTTGCCTTAAATGTTTTTCTATGGATAACCCAGTAGCTCCTTAGATAAGGAGGAACAAAGAATCATGCACCTCTGTTGACATCTGTTACACCATTTATCATTACATAAACATGACCTTATCCACTCCTTCACTCTTTTTAAATGGCAAATCCTGATCTCTTTCATCTCATCAAAACCATGCCAGATCTCTGCCCATCTGTGCTTTCTTGCTCTCTTCTGGTTCTATGATTCATTTTTTTATTTGGTGAGGCTAAAACTATACATGATACTCTAGACATGACAATAACATGGCTTTTTTACAATAACATAAAAATGTGCCTCTTTTATATTTTGTTACTCTCTGGATCAGTCTTTGAGTCCTTTTTTACCACAGTTAAAACATTTCTTCTGGCCCCAAGGCTGACTTAAATGACAGGTTATATGCTACAATAGTTAGCTCAGAAACAACATATTTGAGTTCCTTTAGAATACTTCTTGGAGCAACATTTCCTCATGGCAATTCGTGTTCAATACCATTTACTTCAGATGCTAACAGACTTTGAGAAAATTCCTCAGCGTGTGAGAATCTCTCTTTCTTTGTTGTGAACATCAGTGAAAACAATTAATTTAGTATTCAATATTAAATTAGTTATTAATTAGTCATAGTATTAATAATACTTCAACTGCCTATCTTCCGAGTTATCTCTCTGGGCCTCCTACTTCTAGTATGATTGTTTTAACAAAAAAGAATTGCTAATTGTAGGACACATATTGAGAAAGTAAGAAAATTACAGCCTGAAAAATATTCCAGGCTGGAGCTTTTCAGCTCTGTTCCCAGCCAATAAGCTGGTCCAGCTCAAGGCTAGGGAGAATTTCTCCCAGAGTGATAATTTAGCCAAAATAAAAAAGAATTAATAACAAGATAGAACACCTGTTGTGGTGTATGACCAGGCTCTGGGAATGGGGTGTCTTCTCTCTGAACCAATCACCTTTTCTCTACTCTTGGAATTGCAGTCATGCTATAAAACCAAGTGTGTTTCTGAATAAACTTGTCTCTTACTTTCTATCATGAAAGACGACCATGTAGCTGTGCATCTTATTACCACTGCACTTAAAGGGTTAAAACCCTTTCCACAGCTACAGCTAAGTTTTGTGTCCATAGGAAGTTATGGAAATAATGTGGTTTATATTTAAATTGGCAGATTTTATGCTATTTCCCCATATCTATCTCCATTGAGAAGACTTACACTTTTGAAGAGTATCTTTCCAAAATAATCTACATTCTGTTGTTTTCAATTTGGCATTGGGGTTTGGATTTTTTTTTTTTTTTTGCTTATAAGAGAGTTAATTTTTATAAGTTAAAAAAAAAAAGAGATGAGTTATATATGATTATTTTGAGCCTCTCATACACTTGTCTCCAGCTGCTTCCATGCTGTTTGCATGCATATCTTTTTAGATGTTCTTTTCACTTTTCTTTTATCTAACCTCCTCATTTTCATTTCCTCACTCTCTCAAAGTTAGATATTACCGCAGTGGATTTTTTTTCTATCCTTTTCCTTCTCAACAAGCATGTTCAGTTTCAGTCCAGAAGTGGTTCTCTGATAACTACTTCTTGAATTGTGTCCTATGCACTGCTTCAGAACTAAATCAGCTTCTCATCTTGTGGGTTGTCTGATTCCTTGCTACAAGCTGCAATCATTTATGGTATGTAAATCTCCATTTCCTTTGTCACTTCCTGATTTAAGGCTGGATATGCTGGAGCATATGAAGTTATGTATTACTGTGTAAAACTCTGCACAGCCAGTGTAATTTCACTTACCTTGTTGCCTTTATGTCACCATCTCCATCGTGTGGTCAGCAGTGCAGCCCTGGTGTTAAAGTCTCCCTAGTCAGGTGTGGATTCTGAAATAGTTTCTGGAACATGTTGGTAGAAATAACTTCCTTTCATAAATAACTTCAGTTCCCAGGGGCACTTTGTATTAGTGTCCCTTTGATACTTCTCCTTCCTCCAATTTTCAAAGACCATCTTTTTCAGCTAAGACTAAATTATTTAAAGTTTACATGAATATGCTTAAATAAGATATAGCTAAAAATAGTTGTATAAACAAAACAATTTTTAAAAAATTTCTTCTTTCCACAAAATAGAAAGATACTCTTTTCTTGAGATTCTCTGAATTTCTGAAATGTGTTCAGATTCAACAAGAAACGTAATGCCTATTTCCAAATCTTTCCCAGCTAGAACTTCTGCTATTTCTATTGCTGTGTTCCTGCCATTTTTTGTGGCCAATGAGACTTCATCATGCCTTTTCAAGCTACAGCTCGTGACACAGAAGACCATTCCAGATTATTCTCTAGTCATAGTGGAAACCTTCATACAAAACAGTTTTCTTTATCCATTTATTTCTTTATAATTTTAAGTAATCCTTAGTTTTTTAGGAGAATGCAAAACATCTTTCCATGCTTTACCTGTGAAAGACAGCAAGTACTCTGTTGTTTACTGGCACTAACAATATTTCTCTATTTTTCTCCACACAGCATTTATTTTATATTTCCACTCTATCTTATTGACTATTTCATGATTACATTCATTCCCTTGTGCTGTCACATTTTGTAGATAGTTTTTTCTGCAATATGTTTTGACACACAAAGTGAACTTATTGAATTTCTCTCTACTTGGTGTTACAGGATAGCTTTTCTCCTCAGCAGTTGTATGTGTCTGACAGCACTAGCCCTTTTCTTCCTCCTGTTGTTTAGATCATCTTTGGCACTTACGTTCTCAGCTCCATCAGACAGAGCTGTCTCAGACTGCACTGAGCTGCCATGGATCAAAGCCTGCTCGCTTTGTGTCACTCCCTTCACCACCAATAACCTGTATCAAAAGTGCCCAACACTCAGCAAAACCTCTCCTAGCTGTTACATGACTTTCCTAATTTATGGTTCAACATGAAACAAAGGGTTGACCAGGACATGGGAAACATTGGTGGTTCTTGTCAGTCAAGAACCAAACAGACAGTCTCAGTTTACTGAATTTCTCCTGCAGTGGGTCCCCCTGCCATAGTACAGCCTCTGTCTCAGCAGCACAGCCTTAAACCTCCCTGAAAGGGAAAAGACTTACAAGGCATCTGTGCAGCACAGCTGCCACAGAAACAGTTTCTGGCAAAACTTATGGCACCTCCAGAAGTGCACTGGTATTACCCTCATCGATGTTCAGTTTTCCCCATAAATATTTGCTGACACAAAGCCATCTTGAAGAACCAGCATAAATGAAGTTGTCCAAGAAGTTGTGCTTTCTAGTCAGGAATCCAAGTAACAAGGATCCCTCTAACTGAAAGGATCACACATCCTGCTTGCCAGTCAAAGCAGACTCATAAATTAGACAGTGACCCATTTTCTAAGGACCCATTTCCCCAAATAACTGGAAGTTTTTCAGTGCCTTCTTCATTACTTAATTTGAAGGATTGGGACACTTATATTGAAGTTATAAAATATTGCTCCTTGATGCTTTCGACAATGAGTTTCAAAGAGAAAAAGGAAGATATCAATCAATAAGTTACAAAACAGCAAAGCTTCATATTGCTCCTGTTTTATATTCCATATTAATCTTAGCCCATGTAGTTTTACAAGAAGGTGTAAAGCCACAGGAACATGTCACACAAAAGGCTGGGAAACCTAGTGTGAGGGCAAAACTGCAGTGTATCAAGAGCATTCAAGTAAACAGGTGTGTCAGGAAAAACTGAAAATCTGCAACTGATAAACTCATTTTCCTTCAACTGGGTATCCAGTGCAATAGCCAGCAAAACATTGCAGGTACATACCTACAAACAATGCACTGTAAATAACGTGCAGTATTTTTTTTAAATAGGGCTTGAAAAATTATCCTTGAGCACTCTATGCTCTTGCATGACCCTGCTGAGCTGGTTGTTTGTGCTGGCTATGGTGACATCTGTTGCTGGGAAATGAATTGTTTCCATACGTCACTGGTTTCAAACAACACTATTTTTGCCATATACAGTAAAGAGGTGAAATGAAAGAGACTTCTGGTCCTTAAGCAGCAGCAGCAGCATGGGCAGGCAAAGTGTCTGTTTTAAGATATTCAAAGTGCCCAAAATGGTCTGAGTTTCAGGCCTCTCAAAGTTTCTAATATTCTATCAATAAGTTATGATTACTTGAAAAAAAATCCTCTTATTTCACTGGGTGCTTCATAGACAGAGTTTTCAATACTGGTTTGGACTCACTAAAACATAACACAAAAAGTCCAAATTTTAAAAGATGTTACCCAATAAAACAATAACTATTTCCTCTGTCCCATTTATTTCTGGTAATATTGCTTGGGAGAGCAGAGATGAGGGATAACAAACTTCATCAAAGCAGTTCCTTTTCTATTAATTCAATCTTTACAGAGAAACAACTGCAAAATTAACAGTAGCAGGAGTTCTGGGGCTCTTGAAATGAAACAGGTGAAATTTCCAAAGAATTTTCTTTTGCTGTGTGTAATCCTTTGTCTGAATACAGGTTTAACAATACATGAAAAGTTTGCTCCTATGATCATAATGATCACTCCCTTTGAGGGATTACAAGATACCAGTATCATCAAGCTTCTCAGGGTTTTAAATTGCTAGAGAATTCAGAAGTTCTGAAATTGATGCTGAGATCTGATATTGCAATCATGCCTCAATGGAAGAGCTGCAAAGGGAAGAAAGACTCACTGCAGGGAGTGCTGTCATGCTGCAGGGCAGATATTCTAGCAAAAGATCAGATGAGGCATTACCATCCCTGCTCTGACTCTGCTATGAAAAGCTCTATATTTTGTTCCTGTTTAAGAGTCCTGCCAGAAGCACATGTGGGCATTGACAATGGAGGTGCTAAGAGGGTCTGCAGGGTATGACCTGCCTGAGTCTGGAAGCAGCAGTGTGGTCCTTCTCACCGAAGGCTTGCTCCATTTCCTTTGTGTGGTCCTTCTCACCGAAGGCTTGTTCCATTTCCTTTGTGTTAAGGATTTCACTCTGTCACAAACTAGATACAAAATCAAAAACTTGCTTTCTTCGCTAGTATCTGATTTGCTTTTTTCTTCATCTCAATAGCCAGCTCCATGGTAGCTAAGAGCTAAAACAACCCATTTCTGGAAGCAGGGGAAATGAGAAAATTACAGGGCAGATGCAGAAGATCGTATGAAAGGAAAACACCAGATTTTTTTCCTCTCAAGTAATGCATATATATTTAGATGCACTTACAGTGAACATGTAATATACCAAACCACCACCCTCAAGTCAAGTCAAAAATAATAAATAGTATTAGTGACTTTCTCCTGCAATATTTGCCATTTCAGGGCCAGTACCAACCTCTGAACTTTTTTTGCATGCTTTACTTGATGTCCCCTCACTATAAATCCGTTACCATTAGTAATCATCCAGCCAAGTGATTTCAACTGGAAGATAATTTACAAAGCTGAACATTGCTTTGGTTTAACAATTGAATAGATGTGATAGATTCAATCCCTTTCTGTACCTTGCTCAATAGAACTGTCCATCAAAGGAGGTAATGGGCCTGATCCTTCATCTCACTAAGCTGTCCCCATCACTTCACTGCTGCAGAGTACTCACAGATTTCAGTACAAGGCTGCCTGGAAATGATCCATGCTGTGTAACAGATTAGGTTCAAGCTAAGGGCCAGCAGCGGGAGGTGATTCCATGGCCTGTGGTTGTCCCCAGCAGTGGGGGGGGGGTCATCCCACCCTGTGGTTGTCCCCAGCACTGGTGGCATAGCATAGCTGTGGGCTCAGGCCCTCACCTGCCTCCACACCTCCTGTGCCTCATTACCTAAGGACTCGCACCAAATGCAGCTCAGCTGAATTTAAGAGCTAGCCTCAATATGTAACTCCAGATCTCACACAAACACTCCTTCTAAGAATAATTTCCCCATCATATGTGCAGTTTTCACAGAGTGTTAATAGATCCTGCTTCATGGCCCTACATAACCAGCTCCTTTCCAGACAAACTCACAAGTATCATTCTCACTCTCTTTAGTAAGAAGGACATAAAGTAGTGCACTATCAAGGCCAGCCACGTCACACAGGGATACCTGGTAGCACAAAAACCAGTCTGGTTATAGAAGACCACACCAACTAAGAAACTCTGTACAGAAATAGCAAAACAGCTTTTGAAACAGAACCTGAAGATATCTTTGCAAGGTTAATACAGAGCCCTCAGGCTACCAGGCATCTTGTGTTCATTATTCTCTGCCCAGGAAGCATTTATCACTATGAATTCATTGAAAATTTTGAAGTACGATAATATGAGCAGACTTGCAGGAAAACCTCTTCCTTTGCTACAATCTGTTCAGGAGAGAAAGGAAAGGATATTTGTATGTGTGTGTAGGAGACAGAGAGGTTTGAGGCGGGGGAGTATACCCAGAGGAAATACAAATTTCACAGAGCAAGTGTGAGTGTGAGAACGCAGTTTTTGTCTTTTATCTAATATTTGTGTAGGTTCTGTGAGTGTATAAAGGAAAATTAATCCTGCTAATTCAAACCAGCTACAATGACTTGGAAAAATTTAAACAAGATGCTATTGAAACTTCAGGAAAAATACTTGAAAATTGATTGCCTTTTTGACATTTAAAATAAGAGAATAGATATTCTCTTTAATTATCCTTACTTTAAAAAGCACTTTTTGTAACTATTAGAACTATGACCACATTGTTCTATTATGATGATATTTGCATTTAGCTTTTGATACCTCAGGGTGCTAAAATTTTGGAAAATGCACATTAATCTCAGCAGAAGTAGAAATCATTAAGTTTGCAAGCAGCATCTGAGTGTGGGGCTGTGTGAGCAGCAGGTGCTGTCCATGGTGCTCTGCCGGGCCACAGCTGCCGTAGAATACAAAATCCAAGAGCTGCAATTCTGCCGTGTGCCCCAGGATGGACATAAAATATCTGGGTTTTGTCCCCATTCTGCAAATTCTGTTACTTCAGCATTGTCTTAGCCATGCCACAAATTAGGATTGTTCCCAGCATGACTCTGCAACCTTGCTTACATTGAATATCATTTATTTTCAAACATTTCTTACTTAATTGCAGTGAGGTCCATGCCATCTCTAAGTGAGGGAGAACTTCAATACAGATGTTGAAAGAAGTGTAGCAGATGTTTAATGGAGGAACAGATTTCTGCGACAAAATGTGTGCCACAAAAGTCAATAAAACTTCTAAAAAGTCAAACTGTATTTAAGAAAGACGATGCAAATATCCAGGATTTCAATACTGATCTGCAGTTTCTAACTAACCCAAACGATGAGCCACAGTGCCATTAACAATGGCATTTAATCTTAAGAAAATGGCATTTCAGGAAAGATTTCATATCCATGGTTTTGTGCTACACACAAAGCCTAGGTTTCAGGGCATTATACAACTTAAGATCCCACACTGCTTATCTGGTAAAGGACTTTTACTCCTTAACAGCCTCACCTCTTATGGTAAATCTCACCTGCATTTGGAATGGTTTCCTTGCATTAATTCGGTTTAGGAATTGAAATGAACACAGGAAAAAAAAAATAATCAATGAGAGGCTTAATCAATATGGCCAACCTACTGCATTAGATTGTTCCACTCAATTACATTTCTTTTACATAGCTTAATTTAGATAACTGTCAGGTAAAAGAGGGAAAATAGTTATATACAATTAATGCAACAGAAGGTAGCAACTGATTTAAGCAGCTGGCCAAAGCAGTTAGCAATGCATCTATCCCTTGGTTAAATTACTCTCCTAGATCTGCATAATACATGCATGACTGATATTTTTATCTAGAGCATTAAACCTAATGGCTGGTTTGTTGAAATACAAAACTGTTCTGAAAAAATTCATGAAGTTCAGAGAGCTGGTATAGATCCCATCTGTCAATGCATTTTAGTGGTCCCTGCAGCCCCATGCTGAAAAATCTAAAAGACTCTGCATTTAAAAAGGACTGGGCACATAATGGCAGATGCTTGAGTTTAACTATGTATTGATAAAGTATTGTGGAAATGTTTTCAGAATCTTAGATATAATAGCTGAGCCAACTGCAGCAAACAAGCTAACTGCACTTCTTTGTGTTTTCTTTCTCTGCAGGTATACCCAGTATTTCCAGTATTGGTAGTAAGTAGTAAAACCAGTATCGTTTTGCATTGTCATTGAGCTTCATGGATCTGATTTCCCAACATCCCTTTCTGGTGTAGATGATGTTGCTGTGCCAGCATGCCCTGTGGTGCAGGGGCTGTGTATTGGCCTTCCTCTCTGGCATTAACATGCAACTGTTATTATGTGGTCAGAGACAATGTCATTCCTTACATCTGCATTCAGCCCCAGATTTTCTGATCGATTCTTATCAGCAGATGAGCACTGAGTCCAATAAAACTGAGTGTGACACAAAGAATTAAGATACTGTTGCAGAGAAAATATTTGTTAAACATTTTGAAGAAAAGTGCTTGCTAATAACAGAAGTTTAGGACCAATTTTCATGTATGTATATATAAATTCAAATGGAAAAGTTTATAAATGGAATAGCTTTCATTTCTAGGAAGTAGATTAGCAAATGCAGCATATCTGCTGGAATCTGCACTAACTCTAGCAGGCTTTGAATTCGGCTTTACTCCACAAAATAAATATAATTGTGTTCCTTCACAGAAAAATGCTTTCCTTTATGCAATTAAAGGACCAAAATACTACTCTTAAACTCTAACAAAACCATAACACCGTTATGTAGAGAACTGCTATATCAATGAAATAGATGATTACTTAAACAAAACACATGAGGAGACCAAGTGCACAGCAGCTGAGCTGTGAGCCTCGGCTGAGTTCCGCAGCGGAGGAGTGCACACGGTCATGGCACATTAGTTAATTGCCAATAAAGCAGGGAGGGAGAAATGGGATCCTGCTGTGGCTCATGGAAAGAATATTCCCCACAGCCTCAGCTTTGCAGATACTTTGGGCACAACTTGCATAATATAGGACAATCACAGTTATGAAATATCACAGTTGTTAAATGCAATTTGCCATACCCGATATATCCAAGTGAAAAGTTTTTAATAATTGGGGTAAAATTTTCTTCCTTCTTATGATGCAGGGTCGGGACTATCAATTCATAATCAACTCAGTTTACTTCAGCCCATGAATAGCACTGATTTGTTAAGCTCTAGACAGCCAAGTTAAATGCCATCAAAACTATCTCCCTTGCAAGTGTGAGCAGTGTTCGCAGCTGAATGCCACAGCACCTGTTTCTGCTTTAAATAGCAAAACAGCATCAATGACAATAATGTGCAAATGAAAGCCTTCAATCTTAATAATGTCATTTTCCTGCTCTAGTGTCTTCTCTGGTACTTGAATGCCTGCAGATTCGTAGTGATGTGCTATTTTCAAAACTTTGTTTATACATATGTTTCATTAAAAAAGAATTTAATTAAAAATTAACTAAATGAAAGAGAATAATGTTATGTCACCATTCTCAGCAATATTCCTGCCATTAATAACAGAAATGGGATGAATGGGAAATAGCTCTTTGGAGTTTGATTGTGCTATAGTTTCTTAGTACTGTGTTGCATGGTCTATATGGTTGTGTTTTCACTTCACACTCCATACAGCCTTCGTCACCACATCAACCATTTCTGAGCATCAGCAGATGTTGGCCTTTGAAAACTTAATAGGGAAACTCAAATACTTTTTGAACAATGGTGAGCTGAAAGGATGCATTGTTGACCTCTTTGTATTTTACACTGGGGTGATTAGTACAGTTTATTTATTACAAACTGGGAAAATTCTGTTTAACATTCTATACTAGATACAAGAATTTCTGCAAATGTATGTTTTATCTTTAGTCTGCTGTAAATGTCTTGGGATAATATGTGGTAGAATTTAACGTATTTCTTTGCCTACCTGAAAAGGGTGAAGTATGAGCATCTCCATGAGCACAATACTGATACTCTGTTTTTTTTCCCATGTGTTTTTTCTAGATAGCTTAGGAGGGGAATAACTCTACTTGCTTAATGTTCTGAACACCTTTCCTATAATATAGGAATAGCAGAATTCTTGTTAAACAAGGATAGAATCCATAAATTCTTCCTGTTCTCAAACAGAATTTAACAGAAGTCCAATTAACACACAAAACCAAACAAGATTAATTAGTTGTGGCTGCTTTAATGGATTCTGCATGACTTTTGTTTTGTCTATGCTAACACAGTATTTGTTTTCATATCAGCAGAGTTTTTTTCCCATCTGGGGACAGGAAGTTACTCTCAGGAGATACAGTTTGGGTTTCATTTTGCCTGGCAGCTAACACCTACAGGGGGGTATTGGCTTTTGTGTGCTCACAGCTCTTTCTAGTTTATATGGAGGATGGGGTTGGGGCAGGGGGCTTGGAAACTCTAAACTTCCAGCAGGCAAAGAAGATGCCAACTCAAGCAATGTTCATTTAACACTTTTTTAAGACTGCAATGAAAGCCAGCAAAGAAAAATAAAATATATTCACCTGTGTGCACATATATGTATTATTCTCTGTTTTCCTTTTTTACCTCAAAGAATTTTGTATTAAAGCAGCTTATCACTAAAATTTGAACACAAAGAGAGTGGTCATTAGTAAACATCCTTTCTGATCATCTAGAAGAAAACAAAAACAAAAAAACCCCAGAGCTTTCCCATTAAGGTAATTTGTACCTGCTGTTGTCTATCAGTTGAATAATAGGTTCTCTGATCATTTCCAGCATTCTTGATTACAATGCTGGCTCTTTCAGCATTTTTCAGCCATGTCTGAAAAAATACTGGTGAAAGTGTTAGCAATTAATGAGTCCCAAAACCATTTCATAATTTTAAGCAATGCTTACATATAGTATGTAAATATTCTGAAAACTACATTATTTTACTTGCTAAAATAATGATTGTGCAATTTTACATAGACAAGTGCATCAAAATGTTCATTATTGTGACCAAATACCAACATTACTAATCTGTACATGTATGCCTTCAAAAAGTTGAATCTTCTAAACTATTGCTTCTATCTTTTTTCCTGTAAAGCATAACTCCACTAATTATGCTAAACAGTTTGTTATAAAGGGTATAATTAGATAGAGGATAGGATAGACATGATGTGCAAATAGCTCTGTGTGGGTGATTATCACCTTAAAGCCTGCTGCTGGCAGATGAGTCAGAGTTTAGAGACAGACCATGCACCCAAGTGCAAGATGCAATCACAATAATCAAACGATATTTTCTGCTTTGTTCTCTATGTTTTTGTTCTTCCTTATAGTCAATTTTAAATTAGGAGAGCTTTTTTTTCATTATAATGAATGCAAGATGCAGAAGTAAAAAAAAAAAAGAACTGAATGGGCACTTTCTCATTTTATTGTTTTCTTAACCTTGAAAAATCTCGTAGGTATTTTTCTGGAGCTAAAATGGTGTCTGGATAAAACAAATAGCTTTATTTGTTTTTCACATTTGTCATGAAATTTTAATTGGTAAATATATATAAGTGGTAAATATATATCTTAAAAGGTGCTGAGAGCAAATTCTAATGGATTTTTTTTTAATAACAACACAAAATATTTTGGACCTGATTTTTTCCTCTTGCAGTAACCAAGAAGTTTTCTTATTAAATCTTGGGTCATGTGATCAAAGCCACTACCATGTCAAGCTCTAGACTAGAGTCTATACCCAACACAGGTCAGCAGGGCATAAAAATGCATAACTAGGTTGTACATTAGTTTTCTATTATTTTTTGAGGTCAAGTTTTACAGAAAGCTGTACTGTTGACAGATCATTAAGATATTTATCTCCTTAAAACATTCAAAAATACTATTCACACTGTATCTATTATTTTAGACATATAAGCAAAATGTTCTCCTTTCAATTTAATTTTATCCAAGTCTGACCTTCTAATAAATAATATTGTTAATCAAGCTTCCAGTCTAAGGCAATCACCTTATCTAGATAACTGATTATAATATCAAGCCAGTGGGTTTTTTTCCCTCCTTTAATGCTTTGAAGCTCTTGGAATCTTTTGCTTTAAAAATTAGATTTTACACTATATTAAAACATTACTGAGCTGAAAGAAAATACAAACAGCCTTTGTGGTATGATGTGCTCATTTGAATACTGGATCTGAGAGAAATTTACATTCCAATTAATGCCATTACTGGTAGTTTTACCTGGTAGGAGTCCCAACAGAGCCACTTTGCTGCTGTATAACTCGGCTGTGACCCCTGAAGGTGAGCAAGCAGAGCTGAGCCCAGCACGGAGCAGAGATTCCTCTTTGCAGAGATTGCCAGGGCAGGGTCAGAAACACCAGGGCTGCCCCAGCACTGCAAGGTCCGTGGGATGGGATTTGGGAGAGCCTTTGTTTCCGTTTTGGTTTTGCCAGATCCACCAATTTTAACAGATAAGAAGAGCTGTGCTCAGCAGTCTCATACACACAGCCACTGAGAGTTATGACTTGTTTCTCATTCCTCTTTCCAGTTTTCCATCATCTTTTTGAGTTAGCTTAAATCAGTCCATCAATCAAACAGTGTTTGATTTGCTGTAATATATAGAAAGTTCATAGTTACCTTTCTTTTAACCATTAATAAATAATCAAGTGATAGGATACTTTAGAAAATTATATCAACATTCCAATATGTACCATGGTACCCATGCAAAACACATGGCACTTGCAATATGCAAGCTGAGCTCAGTTACTCAAGAAAGTTTATAGAGAGTAGACACCATCCAAAAAGATATTTTAAAATCTAATTATCTATACAGCTTGGGGAGAAATTGCCAGGAAAAAATGCATTTCTATGTTACCCTCTCATCTTTTTCTTTCTGTTCCTTAACACATGTAATCAGTTTATTTCATAGACTAAAGCAAAGAGTGAGATTTCCCAATCAACATAGTGATTTTTTTAAAAATTCTTTTGATTTACTGTTCATCAGTTATGAATTGCTGTACAGTAATTCCAGGCAACCAGCCAATTTTAGCATTTTTACAGGAAAAACCAGAACCTGTCCAAATAAAAAATAACACAACCCCTGCAAACTATCAACAAAGTAAATCTTTTTCATGAGGAGGTACCTAAATGTTTAATTCCAAAAATACTTGAATTCATTGTGCACTTCTACAAACATTTTAGTGGAAATACTTAAAATTAAAGAATTCCCTCAGCCCTCGCTATCTGAAGAATCAGACAGCAATTTTTTCAAATCAGTGGTAATTTTTTTTCTGATATCTGAAGGTTTCCAGAGATGGATCCTTGGATAATTTTTTTAAGCCTCTAAAAAGATCGCTTTCTTTTTTACTCTACAAGTGGACACGTAAAGGACTAATCACATTTAAATTCTTCCAACAGTTATAAAATCTGTTATGGCTGAGGAGCTACCATAAAACAACCACATCTTCACATTTATGCAGAATTCCACTTTCTTCAAAGGAACAGGTATGGAACTTCCTACATTGCTCCAAGAAAGATTGCCTAATATCAGACAAGTATTTTTTTAACTTAATAAAATAAAGGGTTGATAAAAAAGAAATCAGCATTTCTCTCTTTCAGTGATTTAGATTTTGCAGTTTAATGAAAGTGCTAAAAGGCAAATTTTATGTGAGGTAGGTTATCATAACTTCAAAACTACCAAAGGAGATAGAACTGCAGTAACAATTATATGCTGATTGCAAGAACTGGTAGAATACAATCTGATATAAACACACTGGATTACTCCAGCAGCTCCTAAATCTGCCACTGATTTCAGTTAGCATTATTCCTTAAAAATCCTAATTTTTCTGTTCAATATTAGCACCTAAAACGACTGTTATAAGTCCACTATCCTCAGCAGACATCTATAATTTAGAACAGATATTTACTGCTGCCTACTCATGATTTAAAATAGGCAGTGGCAAGGCCAGCTTTCTATGGCTAGAGACGTGAAGTTCTACTGAATCATTACGTTTATGCTGATACATTTTTAATTCTTTTTTTTTTAATGGAAAGTTAGAAAACGTCTTAATCAGCATATCTCACTAGGATTCCTTATTGTTAGTAAAAATTAAATTAATAATGACAGTTGCCAACACAAGTGCTCCCTGTCTGCCAGTGTTATTTAAGACACACGGATTCCTGCGTGGAGATTGCCACCAATGCACTGTCCGTGGGCAGAGTCACTGCAGGAGCTGAGCAGGCACTGGTGGCTGCAGAGCAATGGTGCCCAGAGAACTCCTGCTCTCCATCACCTCTGCTCTCCTCCCTGGGCAGGGACAGCCCCTCTCACTGGGAATACATTCCAATTTTACTGACAGCTCAAAACTTGGTTGGAGTGAGGAACCAAAAAAAATGCCGATTAATTTCTGCCAAGATCGTGACAGGTTTTTTTCATGTGCAGCTGTCTGGTTGGAATTGGGCTGAAATTATCCATCCATTTCCTTTATTTCCCCAGTTTCAAACCACGATATAGCCCATGGTGCAGACTGTACTTCCAGTGAATATTTGAGACATTTCTTCATTTAATATTGGAAGTAATTCTGATACTGTATACCAGGGAGGAAATAAAAAAAAAAAAAGATTGGAGGAGAAAAAGGAAATTATCATACATCTAATAAATATAATGCAGAAAGTTTTTTCTTACTTCATGAAAGTACAATTTTTTTCCTATAGTTACTTTCTACATATAATTGGCTTTGGAACAATAGTAACTAAAAAATGTGAAAATATCCAATGCAAATTTAAAATGTCATATCTAATTTTCTGCTCAGTCACACAGCTTGCATACCTCCACTCTTAAAGATGCCTACAGTAGCTTCACTTTTAAATAATAACTCTCAAACATACATTTAGAAACTCTCACATTTCTTAGCCTTGTTTGCCCAGAATAACTGTCACGGAATATTTTACAGTAGATTGAAATAGCACATCTTATAGAATACCTATACCAAGATTCATTTATTATTCTGGTAAATAACGACTCTAATTACAAAATGCAGTTTCTAGACATGGAACTGTTCTGGAAAAGATTGTTTTATCTAGTCAACTTCTCTATAAATAAAGCCCTTAGTGGTAATCACCAAGGACTAGAAATATTTTCACAGGTTGCTGTGAAAGAATAACTAGCTGCTAAATGAATCTTCCCAGTGTCTATTCAAGGGATGACTCATCTGCTCCAATGTACATGTGGGAATGACAGCCAACATTCTTGGACTTGGACATCTCACCTATCTTTTCATATAAAGCATTTAAAGTCATCAGCATTTTTAAAAAGTTCAAATATATGAAGAAAGACCCTTTTCAAGAAACCTGTAATTTTGATGGAAATACAGGCCATGAATAAAGGATATGAAAAAAATATATCCTCTTTAGCAAAGATTGAGAAAAGCACATAACAGAAGCATTAAGTCTCAGGAGCATTAATCACATTATGAAGCAGCAGCTGGTCTCAGCTGGATATGACCCTCAACAACCTCATCTAACTTTGAAGTTGACCCTGCCATGAGCAAACTGTGGAAATAAATGACCTCCAGAAGTCCCTTCTAATATGGTTATAATTATCAGTAATAACCAGTAATAATCACTAGTAATAATACTTATGGTAATCTCCAGACACTGTAAATATGCTCCTTATTGGTTTGGGTGCCCATTAAGAAACTCGGTTCAATGTTATCTAATTTAAAGGCTCAGGAAATTTTTAACTATTTTGCAGTAAGTTACAACCTCCATTTTAAGTAAGTTTGCTGAAACAAGCACAGATCTATAGCATTTATAGGATTTCTAAGAAATATGTAAATTTTTTTTTCCTGCCTTCCAAGGAATTATTTTACTTGGACATGATATTACTTAGAGAAATGATAATCAGGATAAATTATATGTTAAATATTACTGATTATATCAGTTTGATTATGTAAAGTATCTGATTTACTATATAGGCCCTTTATGAAATGACAAATTCCAGAGGTTTAGTCCTAAGGCATTATAAAGTTATTTGACACTATTAATTTTACCTCTCGTAATTCCTAGGCCTTTTTAGTTGGCAACCACTATACATGTGAATTTTTATAGCAGGTGTGCCACACGGTACTCAACAACACAAGTAGGATATTGGAAGCTCCAGTCTGAAATGTGACCAGTTTTCTGCAACAGCTCTCATGCTGCACAATGGCTAAAAGAAAAAAAGGCTCAGGGGATAGCAGGACAACATAATCCATAATGATTACTTTTTCTTTTTTAACTTCTGATTTTTATGTTATGCCTAATGCCAGTCACTTTAAAATGTTTAAGTCAAGTCTGAGTGTTCCTAAATCTACCAAAATTTTAGCAGGGATTTAATTGTGCAAGTAATTTGTCAGTGAGTGTCTGAAGAGGAGGAAGGTGGTGTCCCAGGTGCATGGTAGCAATCTGTCAGTGGAGGGGGCGAGGGCTACCCCAACACCTCACTAGGTACAGCTTGCAGATACTTTTTGTCATCCACTCTGACTGGGGCATTTGCACTTCCTATGTGTGGGAATTGGTGGATCTGACCTGTAGAGGCAGGTTAATGTTAGTCATTATATAGACTGTTTGATAGTCTACCAAACTGACTCAGTTTTTCTTTTTCTGTTTTCTTGACTGGTAAGGGAAAAGTGCAAAAATGCAAGAATCTGATGTGAATTATGTGATTAAATTATAAATTGACCATTCAATTGCAGAAGACTGCCTAACAGCAAGTGGCATAGTGCAGGTCCCATCCTTTCCTTTAATTGTTCTCTGTGTGGGAGGACTTTAGGGACAGACAGACAGCCCCACCCAGCCAATTTCTCTTCACCCTTGACAAATGAGTCAGAAGATACTTTGGGACGTCCTCCTTCCAAATCAGATGTTTTGACCCCCAGTCCTTTTGTCATAGCTTCCCCACAGATTTTCCACTAAGATGGTTGTAACAGTGAAACTTACCATCTAGATAAAGATATACAGGCCTAGCCCCTTAATGCCAACCAGGTTTGACAACTGCAGTCCTCTCACTACCCAGCTGAATTCCTCATATATAAAAGAGAAGAAATAGCTCTCTCCCCACTAATATCACCACAGTGAAGGCTGATGTGACCCTTAAGAAGAATTCTCTTTGGTTCAGACAAGACACAACCACTGCAGTACTCAGAGAAGATGATAAAAACATGGTCCAAATGTAATGTTCAAAGCTAGGAAGATGGAAACAGAGAAACAAGTTTTCTTTCCTTACCCACAACCCCATCCCCTTCACTTTCAGCTCCAAGACCCAGCACCATTCTGCTAAGGGCTGTCACTCCTCACTTCCCCAGCCCCATAACACATTAATGAAAGAAGATGAAGCTCTAAGAGACACAGCTAATTCTATTGCACACATAAAATGCTTCATGCAAGTAATACATTTTGTAGAACTTTAAAGAAATTTAGATAGTTAACGTTATGACCAAAAAAAAATAAAAATCAAGCTGTAAAATATATCAGCAGAGGTGATAGGAAGTAGATGAAACACACAAAAGTGTGAGAGCCAAAGAAAAGGCCCACTCTACTGGTAAATATATTTCTTCTGATAACAGATATGCAATTCACTCAAAAGGCCCTGAAACAGGATGTTACAGTAAGATATGTGTCTTTGCTAAGAAATCCATATTTGTCTGATACTGTGTTTTTATCTCTGCAGAGCAGATTTAACACAATATGTTCCTGTTTTGTTCCTGGTGTTAGAACCATATATATTGGCCTAGAATATCTTCTCATCATGAAAAATTATATTTTAAGCCACAGAAGAGAAATTGTTATGCACAGTATTTTATGTCCATTTGGTGTTTTGGGAATCATCAATTGCTTGTTTTCTTGTTCACTGTGGAGTCATGTTCTGTTCTAGTGCAACTTAGACTAGTCCAGTAATAGCTGTGTGTAATCTCTGTCTTTGTCCATATGCTTTCCTGTTTAGAACAATATCACAGATGTAAATAACAAAACCTGATTTTTCCTGATGCATGCAGATCCTCCAAAGTTTGATAGGATATGGCCGAATATTTCTTCCCTTGAGGTTTCTAAACCAAACCAAGGTAGGATGCTGTAAAATTCTTAGTGGTCTAAAGGTACTGAAATTGCTCTCAACGAGTCCCATGTGGTGGCAAAAGTAGTAATGATGATAATCCAACTCATTTTTCTCTGGTGCTAAGTAATGCTGTCCTGTGAGAAAAGAACTATAAAACAAAGCTCACCTGAAAAGGGAGTCTTCCAACACTCAGACTGTGCACATTACTGCCAATATGGGAATAGCAGACATACAGACTAAAATTTGTGATACACAGAAAGCCCAGGATAATTTTGGACTAGTTTAGATAGCAAAATCTATATTTTGAGTATTTTTGAGATTCTTAAGTGAACAAAGATTGTCATTGTCAACATCACATTTTCAATGTCTTGTTTCACTTCGTTTTCCCAAGTGAGCTGAGAAGCATTCTCAGCTTTCATTCCATCCACAATACAAGCGAGGAAAGACCCTTGGTTTTCTACAATTTGAGTGCTACACAAAAAATTACATACTGTGGCATGATGATTAGCATTGAAAGAAACAAATTTACATTTTAAAATTACTAATAAAAGTAAGATTCTTTGTTAGTTGAAGCATTCAGCTATACTTCACATTTCAAAGTGATTTCTCATTATAGAAATAATGTCCTTCTGTTCTTATTTACTGCCCTTTCCTCCTCCAAAAGTCTCTGCAGAAATCTGGCCTGTGGCTTGCTTTCATGTTCAAAGGGTGTCCTTTCTGTGCTATAACACACAGAGGTGGAGAATAAAATTAATGAAAAGGTAATCTAGAAAATGGCCACTAAGCCAAATGAGATGCATTGGGAATCTGTTGGGAATTACACTGGAAGGGCTGTAATTAAATCTACAGATCACAATCACCAAACATATGCATGTGCATGTGACATCTACCATGTTATACATGCAAGTTTCTATGTGCCCAACAAAACAGAAAATACTAATTGATCTGTGTTCTCTGTAAGAATTAGAAATGTATTTTAGTTTTAATTATTCAACATATATTTAAAACTAACTATTCCTGATAAAGTGATACCTGGTATTCCAATTTCATTTAGCTCCCATTGTATTTTCCAAATTTTTGAATGTCGTTTTTAAACAAACAAAAAAACCACCACCCCAATTGATCTCTTTTCCTCTGCTCTCTATAAGGATTAGCCTACGTTATTCAGAAGAATTTAAATTAAAACATTCCAAATTAAATTATACTTAGCATTTCTAATGGATTTCATTACTTAATTATACTGTGTGTGATCGAAGACCTAACTTCATTGCAAAATACATCTTGAACAGCACGGAATTATATAGTGTTTCTTCCCCAAAAATAAGAGTTTAAGTAAATTTAGTTTTGATGTTTTTGTAGGGAGCACAAAACACAAAATCTTCAAAGCATTTCTATTCAGCTTTGGTGTGTTTGCAGCATATTGTTACAGTGTTTAACATATAGTGTAGATTAAATATTTTAGTTAAGGATAGTGTATGAAAAGAATGATTCCAGAAATCTGCCTATATCTCATTATTTTATTGTGGGGCTTAGGTTGATACTATTTGGCCAGAATCAATATGCATTCAGATTCAATAAAACGCTTTTCAGACCACTCTGGTTACCATACAGTCATTTGTCATGGACTGGGAGACACCACCAAGTAACCTCTAACACGAAACTGCCAAAGTGCATAGATGTGAATTACATTCCCTGTCTTGATCTTGGATGTTACAGCTCAAATGATTCAATAATTGATAGTGTATAACTCATTTTCTGTAACTTTACCCATTGCTTACAAAAAAATAACCGTTGTTAAATTTAAAAGTTAGAGAATAAAGATGTTTATTTTAATATTTTGATTTGTTCCTATATGATACTTCTTCTAATTTGCTGTTCATTTTATTACCTATCCAGTTGCTCCCAAATTAGCTATGTCAACTGTTTCTTCTGTTCAAGTTGCAAACCACAAGAGAGGTAGGAATTCTGGGATTCATACAGTGATCCCGTAGTGCTCTGTGTTGTGAAAACATTGCACTGTATGAATCTGGAATATCTGTGGAGTGTACCCATTAGTTTACTGGTGAGGCATCTTCATTGAATACAACAGAAGCATTAAGTCACATAAACATAAGCCATACAAAGAAAAATAAATATGCTTCTTAGACAGTTGTTGGTGGCAAATAAAATGACATGGCATTTATTTTTAAAGGAGTTAAATGTATGAATATGACTATTCAGATCCTTGCCTAGAAAGCAAATGTTTACTAGAGTCTTGTTTTCCTCAGTAATATGCACAAATTGTAAAAGAGGAAATATAAGCAGATTAGTTGAGGGCAAACAATCCATAAAACATCAATTGTCCATGTCCTCAAGAAGTATCTGTAAATGCCATGGAATGTAATGCATTGTTGTGTCGTTTAATGCATTGTAAGTGTGCCTTATGTCTTCATTTTAATGTAAGTGTGCAAATTCAGAGTGTAGGCATTACATTTTGAACTGATGTTCCAGTGTTCTATCAAAATAATGGAGTTATATGGACATAATAAAGGACGCCAATATTCTTTCTGACTTACAGGCAACCTGTTTCATTTGCATATCTGTCATTCACAGTCTGAACCCTGAGATCTTTTCATTGTTTTTCCTCATCAGTTTATCTGTAAAGAGTATGTATGAAGATGTTTTTGTCTTTCTGCAGCTATTGTGAATATCTCATTATTCATGAAATACATATTAACAAGGAAAGGGGTTATTAAGAAATGTTTGAACTTAGTTTGACCCATTTGATGAGATCATGGTAATGAGCCATACTGTTTGTTATGAAGAAGGTAATTTCTAAGGTTACAATGAAATCTCCTTTGTTTGCCTTAGTGTGTGGAGGAGGAACACGAAGTGACTGGAAAATGAAAAAGAAAAAATAATTTAATGATTTGTGAATGCACTTTTGTTGAAATATGCATTGTGCTTTTAATTAAAAAGTGACACTGATAGCTGTCTCATGCAACCTGTCTTAGTTTAGAAATGATGCTACCCTTCCATGTATGTTTATCATTGTTTCATGTGATGACATTTCATGTTTTAATGGCCATAGCTGAAGCTTCAGCTGAACCTTGTCCCCACAATAATAGTATGTTATCTCAAAGATGTAAGTGCATAGCATTAGAATGTGGGGAAAGTGTTCAATTTATAGAAACAAAACAATTAGATTATCAGCTTCATAAGCCTGCTTCAGTGGGTAATTTTATTATGCTTTCTGCAACAGAATCAAGATTGTTTCAATAAAATCATTGCATTGAAAAATAGTCAGGGAGGCTCAGAGTCAAAGCTTCTGTGAGTTTGCAAGGGATTTGACAGTTCCTGAATCAGACAAAAACAAAGATCACATCTAACATGGCAATTCCTTTTTCCTTCACATTAAACCTATCTAGCTATCCTTACTTCTCTGAGATTTTAGTTTCTGAACCATTCACTCCTTGTTGTTATTCAACTTATCTGTGTCTTTTCTGACATGTGGTACTCAGAACTGAAAGCAGCATTTTCTATCACTGTAAGAAGCTCATGTCATTTCACAATGGTTGGTAAACCATGTGCAGCCTGATTTTGATACTATTTTCCCCATCTCCTTCAGTGATTGCATGACTTTGCCAGTGCGTGACAGTGCTTTAGGCTGCTGGCCAAAGCTGTGTGCCTAAAGACCCTAAGCTGTGCTTCTGACAGGTCTAACAAGCAGAATACTTTCTGGTTAAGGTGAACCACGATAGGCTGGAAGGGCCATACAGCACTGACAGCTTCCCAGCTGGTGCTGAATGCAATCCTGTGTGCTGTGTTTGAGTGGTTTAGGGTAGCACCTCGTGTAGCCACAGAGAAAGTAATTCCATTTCGATCATAGGAGGACTTTTTGCATAGCTTATTTTTGTAAGCACAGAGAGATGTAAAAATGATTCACTGACCAGGCCAACAGCAAAAAATTACTGCACTAACAACGTGGTGGGGAGGCAGGGGAGTTATCACAAAATTGTTTTAATCTTTACTTGCCATTTCTTTGTTTTTTTCCTTATGCCATTGCTAATGTTTGATCAGATGTTGGACTGTTTTCAAGTTAACTGTGTTTTTTTCTACACCATATAGCATTTACTAGTCTGATCAAGACTCCTAGAGCAATCCTTTACCTTAGCATTAGTTAACTTTGAGACAGACTGTTTCACACAGCACAGTTGTTACAAAAGAGCAAGACCCATAGAAATGCAACCAAGTTTAAGAACTAGTCTCATTGTTTACCTTTTATATTGATGACCCACGTCTCAACTTGAGCAGTCCTACATACATTTTGGAGCATATGCATATATCCACGTGCTTCATAATTATTAGATGTTTCTTCATAACTCAGAGCAGGCCTTGTGTTACAGTGTGAATTGCTTAATGTGCAGCTTTGATTTTTGTGCTGTTGTAATGGCTAATTATGTGTAGTAGTAATATTATTGAAGGTCGTATTGCAGTTTCACAGTGGAAGTAGTGCATTCATTCATGAACTAGTCTCAATATATTTCTGCTGCCTTAAATACAAAAGATAATGTAGCATAGTCAGCTTTTCTTTATAGTATATAGGCAAATTATTTCTTCTAAATTCACCTGGAGTGTGAAAGTGTTTAGCAACAAGTCTGAACAACACACCAATACAGTATTATCTCACCAAAACAAATTCTCTGTTGGTAGCAGAAGACAGGTCCTTTGTCAGACAGAAAGACTGACAGCCTTGCTTCTGAATCCAAGATTCAGAAAGATGAGATTGCTTATCACTAGTCTGTCTTGCTTACTTTAAAAATCAAACACATAAACATAATCACACCAATTTTCCATGACTCCTGTTTGCTAGTGCTAGTTTCCACTTTTAGATCTCGTCTGTTCCACACAGGCAGTTTTCACTTGAGCAAGATGGATATACTTGGGGGGAAATGCTGCAGGGTGGCTGGCTGAGATGCTGAATCAGACTGACCAGCTGCAAAAGACCACAAACATCTACATTTTTTTCCTCCCTACTCAATTGTGTCAAGTGATAACATACTGAGACTGATACACCAAATGTTTTCCTCTATTCCAGCAGTTACTGGCATCAAAATTACCAGATTAGCACGAACCACAACACATTGGTTTAGCAGAACAACATTGAAGAGAACAAGAAATATATGTAATTATGTAAAACTAAAATGTGTATATGTAAAATGGGTTAATGTTTTCGGCAGCAGAAAGGCAGCTCTCAAGACTGAAACACATGTTGTGCTAAGTGTCTAAAAAAATTTAATCTATTTGCAGTGCAATCTATTTACAGTTCAGTACATCACACAAAAGCTAAAGAAATATCCATGTATTAGGAGTGCAGAGCATACTCAGAAACATGTATTGGGACTGTTGTTTTTTTACAAAATACAGATGGGCTCAAATACTGTATGTGATGCCCTACTCCACCAATCAGGGGGATGATCAGGTGTCCCAGCATAAGCTGGAGTATATCAGAGGAAAAACAGCACAGGGGACTTGGCCTCTATCATATATGAAAACATTTTACACCCTCTGCTAAATTAGCTTTATCTCATTACAAGATAACTTTGAGACCTCAAAGCCCTTCCAAGTCACTGCATCCAATGCTCCATTATTGCAGGAAACATAGTGTAATTTATTCTACCAGTTAATAAACTACATCTGTAAAGCATCAGTGTGCTTTGCCTTCTATCATCAGTTTCCTAGACTAAACAAGACAAATTTTCCTAGTCTTCACTTTTTAAATAGACTCAACTTCTCTGATCATCCTAGTAACCTTTCCTGCATTCATTCTGGGCTCATAATCCCAAGAGTTGAGTGATCAGGCTTACACAAGTGTTCTACAAGAAGCAGAGCTGCATCTTCTATAATGTTATTGATACAGTTCTGATTTCTTCTTTGTTCTGCATAAAGGCAAGCATTGCTTGTGATTAAAGACTAAAAGTCACTAGCATTCTATATGTAATAAAGGGGGTTTTTTTCAGTGGCTGTCATGCCAACTTCATTTCAGATGGCTGCAGTAAGCATGCTTTCTAGTCAGTACACATTTCAGAATTTTCATAATCTTTCTGGTCCAACTGTTTTTCATCTCAGAATACAAAATCCGGTTAATGCTTACCTCAAAAATACCGTGGATGTAGTTCTCCAATAACTGTCTTCCTTCCTTTTCTTCACTGTTAATTGTTTTAGGAGGTGTTGGCCAAAATTGTCAAACTAGAGATTTGTTTTTCCATGGAGTAAAACACACTGGTTCTCAAGGTGCCTACCAGTTATAGCACCCCCAAGTTCAATAGCATTTTGAATACTTGCCATTTCTGTCAAAGAAAAAAGAAAAGAAAAAAAAAAAGCTTTTATTTTACTTAGAATTGTGGATTTAATCATAATTAAGTTTGACAATTTTGTCCACTGAATTTAGCATTGTTAATATGAGGAGGTTTTTCCCGGGTCTTGATTTATACTCATCTCAAATGTGCAAAAATACGTGCATTTCTCTCAGCGGAAACTGAGCCTCCAGTAACCCTGAAAGGTTTACAACTGCAAATGCTTCAGTTCCATCAGGTCTGCCAACAACAGCCAAACCTCCGACGTCATGCCATGGTTGTCGGGTCACGCTAACCTGCCTGAAACCAGCTCCACTTCCATTGCAGATAAACATCTGCTGCTGTCCATGTTACATTGATTAACATGTATGTGCCATTCATTCATACTTCTGCTCATGGTTCATTTTTACTAAGCATGTAATGTGCTATTACTCTGCTGCTGTATACACTCTGTATACATTTCTGTTCTTCCTTGAAAGACTGTGAATGCTTCGGGCACTCCAACCGGTGCAGTTACATCGAGCTGCTCAATACGGTCATTTGCGTGAGCTGTAAGCACAACACTAGAGGTCAGCACTGCGAGTTATGCAGGCTGGGCTACTTCAGAAATGCTTCTGCAGAGCTGGACGATGAAAATGTGTGCATAGGTCAGTCCCGGGATAACTGCGCCTTTTCTTCTGTGCCTTTTCAGCTCCTGGCAGCCGCTAGGGACCACTGCTGCTTACTTGCCACTTGAGCCAGAATGAGCTTTTTCAATGGATCAGAACATCTGTGTAGACTTCTCACCTCATTTCTATTGCCCTGGTAGCCCCAAGGAGGCATTTTGAATCTGTAAATGATGACGAACCTCTCTGGCTACGGATCCTGGGTACTCATTCCCCAGAAGCCCCTGAGAAGCTCAATGTGCTGTCCCTTACACAGGAGAGAGCCACACTGGGGTTGCACATGAAAATTAAGGGGTTGAGTCTCGAATACCTGTTCCCAATCTGATTTTTGCAATTACAGACTTCTTAATACTTTCCCGGAGATCTACAAAAGTTGCCAGCTGCATCAAGAGGACGTGGGGAGAGATCTCTGTTAACTCCTTTTATTCACTAAATTTCACAAAAACATGTTACAGCTAATTCTGCTCCCAGACATAGGATTGTAAATTCAGTGTTACCTCCCCTCTACTTAGAGGAGGAACTGAAATAATGCCCATGAGGTTAGGAATAGTATTTGTCAAATCAGTGTGACATGATGTCAATTTAGAAAAGGGATTCCTAGGTGAAAACAGTGCTTTAGAACAAGCATCTGCTATAAATATTCAAAGTGCAGAATTAGAGAAAATGTCAGAAGATAATAAGAAAAGCATATTAGGAAAAGAATTTAAGATCTTTATCACCCTAGAAGAATATGCATTGTTCTCATGTCACCACAGACAGTATACAGCAAAGTTAGGACACTTTAGGTGAAGCCTGAAAATAATCAATAAAGGGAACCTTGTACAATAGGCAGTAATTAACAGATAGCCACTAAAGACATTGTTCTAATAACAAATACAGAGGTGGAGAATTTAATTATATAATATTTCTTATAGACATAAGTATCAGTAGGACTTGTTCTGGATTTTCATCTTCCATCTTCCAGGAAGCAAAGAGTACTTAGCAGATACTGTAAAACCGAAATAGACTATGGGTGAATAAATTATATTTTAATACATTTATAATCCATTGCTGAGATTCAAGCCAGAAACTATTTAGGTTGCTATTATTTGTTTGAGTTTGTAACTTGACAGATTTACATTTTTATCCTTTGATAAACACACAGATCCATCCATGCACTGCATTTCATGTGTCCTTCTTTTAACTTTGCTTGGCAATGCATTCAGGAAATGCATGATCTCCTTTGCCAGTAATTAGTCAGAGCTAATAAGAACTTTAGTAGGCAAGTCATGATTTTCTGTAAGCATGACTGTGCTGAGGAGATTAACACAATCAAATGTTATTGGAAAAAAACTACTGTCCCACATATTTGTTTGATGTAGATGACAGACATCATTGGTATGACATCAGGGCTGTATAATTTCAGCTGCCTAAATAGGCCTAATGAATACGACTAAATTAGTCTGTTTGGAATTTTTCATCAGCTCATTCAGTATGTTGTTTTCCCATATACACTGAAATGCTAAGACAGCAGCTGCGGCTCCATAAGAAGTTAGTAAGTTAGTAAACAAAAAGCCAAAAATAAGTAATTTTAAAATTAGTTTATGAGTGATATATTTTAAATGTCATGGTAAGACAACTGTGCAATTTGAAATTGCCAAGACAATGAGGAAATAAAATTTTTTAATATTTTATTTAGCAAGAGTCTGGGGAAAAAAAGGCAATGTGAAACATTTGCTGATTTTCCACTGTAATGCAAGCAGAATTCTCTTGGACTCCCATGAGAATTGTACCATGTGAAACAACTATAGGATCAAACCTTGGTTTGCTACAATTTAGATAATTGATTTTAAATAAAAAACATTCTGGACTAGGTTTTCAGGATCACAGTTACCATACAAAATGTACATTTCCCAATGTATGTGTCCTAGCTGATTTGCCAACTTAAGAGGCCTTTCCTTCTTGTGTAAAGTCAATGAAGTGAACAGACACCTATGCACTTTTCAGGAAACAGAGAAATTTGTTCTTAAAGTGCTATCTTGAGCTGGGGCTCCTAAGATTTAATTGGGCAAAACATGGAGTATTTTCACCTGTGAGAGAGTTGATGGATTCTCCACCCTTCTAGGTCAAGCACAGTCTTGCTCTATTGGAAACGCTCATTTCTCTTTTCTCTGAGTTTCAAAGCAGTGTTCTGTGGTTTAACTACAAGTGAAATGTTGGCATGAAGCAATTTCCAGTGATATGTGCAAGTCTTATTCCCATATGAAAGTCATTTTTTCAGGCTAATTCTTTCTTCTTCAGCCATATATGTAGAAAGGTAATAAATGTTTGGATGAGCTAGTTTAATGGCAGCTAATAGGGCTTTGGCTCTGATTTACCAAAACTGCTTCACAGTTTTCAGAAATACATATGGTAAGTACATGGATAACAAATCTGTGTATCTTAGCTGATTCTAAATCAATTGAGAAAATGTAAAATGTTTAATTTTTAAGACTAAAGAATTCAAATACTGAGGTTTTTACCAATGAGCCAAATGCAATGTATTATACAATAGGCTTAAATTTAAATTCTTGATGCCCTTAATTTCTTTAGAAGAAAAATAGATTTTATTTCCTAAAATGAAATACCAAAAATTTGTGGATTTGTATGTTAACTACAGGGCAACTACATTTTCAGAATAAATCAAGGTATTCTGAAGTTTAAAATTACTCATTCGGTGTGAAGAAGAATTTACAGCTTGAAGAGTTTTTAATTTCTTGATAAAGCCCTAGTAACTTTCAGTGAATGCACACACTGACAAGCAAGGATAGCATGGAAACCACCAAGTAGACCCAGAGTAATAAAACATGGCCTTTGCCTCACAGCATGAATACTGAACTGGTGATTGCTGTCACACTTTTAACAAAGCCACCCTTGCAGTCAATTAGGCTTAGGCCTCACTTAGCACCAAAAGCCCTAATGACATGTGGTTAAGTGAATCCTGGGGCTTGTCCTGTAGCCTCTGTCAGCCCAGACTGGTAAGCAGCAAGCCTGCAAGCCTCAGCCCATTTCTCCACCTCCTTTTTTATTTACTTTCATTGTGCTTTGTTTGAAGCATCACACTGATAGAGTGTGAACAGGTTGCAATTTCTCTTACCTTCCTGTCCTTACAAGTAGTTACCAGATGGAGGTTAGGATGAAAATTCTTTCTTGGTTCAGATCTGCAGGGACTTTTTCCCCCACCCTGGAACCTATGTGTGGATTGCTTATTGGGGTGATCTGGGAATGTTAGTGTTATTTAGTGCCCTGTTGCTGTTAGGGCATTGGAGATACTCACTGCCTCCATGTGGCACGCTGAAATTGTGATCTTTGAGATTTTTCATGTCTGAGGTATTTGGTAGGCCTTGGGAAGTGTTCCACAACCCGTGATAGTGTGTTGGACAATGACCCTGAATGTTGTGTGGGCCTCTGTAGGTTATAGTACTGTGGTATCAATTGGGAAAGATAGAAGCTAGAATCAGTCTGTTGGGTGTTGTGATTAGATCTACTAATTTTGCAAAAAGGCCTGGATAAAAGCTTTGTTTCTACTATTTCCTTTCCCTCCAATAGCACAAGATGGGCCTGGAACTTCCTACATGCTTATGTGATAGAGTTCAGTAGAAAAGGTTTCACTGGTTCAGGGTTTTGTTCTCTGGAAAATTTAGCATAACATCCAGTATCACAGGCTATACATTTCTTTCACAAATAATTGTTTAAATCACCGTAACTTCATTATGTCTAACAAAGCTGCTTTTAACAAGAATTGGGCCCTCTGTTTTTAATGTAATTCCAAGCTTTTGTCTTTCAAGGTTTTCTATAAACACTCTTCAAGCAAATTTTACTTCCTGCATTCAGAATGTATCTCAAGTCTATGCCTGTTTATATAAACATTTGATACATCTGATTAACATCAGAATTCCTAGCTTTTCAAATGGCACTCACTTTGCTATAATACTCAGCCTTGCACAGTATTTTTGGCATGTCAGTTTTCCGCTTCATTAATGAATGTTGCCAGTTAATTGACTCTATTATTATTGTGGAACCCTTTTGCCAAAGGTAACTATGCTTCTTCAGCATCCCAAATGTTCAAAGTGCCATCTGTAATTTATAGTTAATAAACAGTGAGACAACAGATGACAAATGTCTTTCTGGTAATTTTTTTCCTGTTATTTTTTTCATTGGAGATATATACAAATGTAACTTCCTAGTTCAACTCCATTTTTTCTTTAATGGTACCACTGAGGTTTAACCTAATGCTAGGGAACAATTGCCAGATGTAGTCATCAAAGTAGCTCTGATTCACAGACATATAAATCCAGACTCCAATCAGGTTACCCCAAATCAGGAAGCAGCAGAGATCAGATGCTTCCAAAAGGTGTCTGTGGTCTCAGTTAACAGTGAAGTTACTCTGGGTCTACATGGGTCTACATACAAATAAGATAATCCTTCATTTGAAAACAATAAAAAAAAAGAAATCTAAATAACCAAGGTGAAGAACAGGAGTGCCAAAAATGAGCTCTGAGAGCTCCTTGCCTTTGTTCAGCTGGCTGAAAGCTGAACACAGATATTATAATCATATTAAAGAAAAGGGCTGTGAATGAACAACAGAGTAAGTGTTGTGGGAGGAAATGTGTTACCCTACTTATTCTTTAATTAGCTGAACACATGTGAAAAATATATAGCGGGGAATGAGCCTCACTGCATTTTCCATCTGCACGCTGGGAGGTGAGAGAAATTAAAATGGCTGCAGAAAGCCTGTTCTTAAAGGTTTTGCATTACATTAGTGCTCACCTCAAGCTTTTCATTGCAGAATACGCAAAAGGTTTATTAATGTCACTGATAAATACAATCTCATCAATTTAATGGCAAATATTCACATAAATTATTATACTGCTCAAACCTATAAAGGAAGACTATCTTGGAAATAACTAAAGTGCATTTATATAGCCCTATAAAGACATCCAGCACTTCTGAAAATATTGAGTAATAGAGATAAGCCTATTTTAATAAAGTGAAACGTTTCACCCTGATGGCACATGGATATATCCATACTATACAAAGCTTTTCTAATGTTCATTAAATTGTCAAAAATATTCTTGCCAAAGAGAATCTGTTACAATCACTTACCCTCAAAGACCGTGGTATCTTCTGCCTTTATATCTTTTCTGTTTACTTTTTCTCTTTGCATCATAAAACACCTCTTCCTGAAATGATATGTGCAAACAAATAAATGGACATGTAGTAATTATATTCACTACTCTAGATATCCTTAATAGACAGTCTTCCTTTACTTTTAGCACTGGAAATGCACCCTTTATTGGTATTGAATGAATTATCTCCACATGTAGACCTGAATCCAGTGTGTATGTGTTGTCTTGTTTCTGCAGACTGTTATTGTAACCCTTTTGGTTCAGTCCATGATCGCTGTAATGACAGAGGATTTTGTGAGTGTAAGGAGGGAACATCAGGGCCTAAATGTGATAAATGTCTGCCGGGATATATCTGGCACAGCTTGGGCTGTCAACGTAAGTAACTCTGAGAGTCGCCCCTGTCGTGCAGCTCCGCTGCCTCCCGTCCGTGTGCTGTCATGTGCCAATTCTTGGGAGCAGAGAACGAGCAAAAGCTCTGGGCTCTACCAGTGCCATAATGAACCTCGGGAGGCTCCCAGCTGGGGGCACTGGCTGTGCCATCCATTTAATTCCATGCATTTCAGGGCCCTTTCTCTCTCCCACTAACACCCGGAGGAGCTCCCGCTGCCATAGGTAAATACACGTCTTGGCAACTGTGAAGTTTTGTATACTAAAACAACAGCAAATTACTTCCAAATTCAGAATTCCTACTAAAAGAATTGATTTCTCTGCATGTTCGTTTTTTTCTGTCCTAAACTTCAGCTTCTTGACTAAGTTAATTATGCTTTCATACCTTTAAACTATCCCTGGACAATAACTGTAAAACACTGGCTTGTACCTGTAATAATTAGTGAAAACTAGATGAAAGCTAATGGTTGGGGGAAATGGAAGTATACTTCACATCCTTAAAAATGAGAGCTGAAATTTTCCTTAAATGGTACTAGAACACATGTTTCAATGCTTAGTTATGTATTTTGCTTCTCTTCTGGTTAACGGGCCTTGTAAACAAGTGAGTAGAAATATCACTTCAGTATATACAGGATCAGACTTTTACTGCAAATTTTGTTTGTAGTAAATTCTTAAGATTTATTCTTTATAACAGTTTTGATCATCTACTTCCAGAAACTCTGGCGAGTCCACTCACATTTTTCTTTGACCTTTTCTCACTGCCTCTCTGCATTCTTAAACACACACACATTAAAAACATTTCTACAAGAGCTTGCTTTTGATTCTTAAGACTGATAAACACAAGAAAATGTAATTACTGACACCAATTAGACAAATTGTATAAAATTGGTCAGTAGCCATACAAATGCTCTAAATACTCAGAATCAAATGCAAATCTTATATAATAAATTAAAAAAACCAATAAAGCTAGAGATTACCACGGCCTCTCCAAGTGATGAGTACCTCTGAATCAAAAAAGCTGGACTGGTGACAACTCAATAAATTAGATCTGGAAAGAAAGCCAACAGATAATTTCAGGAAATATTGTTATAATTAACCAATTAGCATTAAAGATGGTACATGAAGAGAAAAGAAGCTTGCCTGGGCAAAACTGTTCAGTGTAACCTGAGAAAACAGGACTTCCTCAGCTTCTACCAGCAAGCTCCTGTTTGTATGTGGCAGGGCATTTAAACCATACTTTTCACGTGTAATTGTTGACTGTGTTCTCATTTTCCAGTTGCTTCTACTTGAGTTATGATTCACAAAACTATTGGGTAGTTAGAGTTGCAGCAGAAAGCAGGTGAAATAACGTTTCAAGTTTCACAAGTTCTCTATTACTAATTCTTCACCAAGTCAGATCCTAGTTATCTCCCAAACAATGCACTCAGAAATAAGAGGTCTCCCACTGCCTTCCACTCCATATGCAGAAGGTTGTCACCACTCTGTACCTTGTCCTCGATACTGGCAAAATAACCATTGGAATTTGTGAAGCATTGGAAATATTGCAGGGACCCAAACTACAAGGGGAAAAAAACAAAAACAAAAATCAGTATGGTTCTCTGCACAGAATTTGAATGAAGAAAACTTAACACTGTGTCTGTCCACACAGTGGGTTTAAAAAATATATTAAGTAACTGAGATACTGAATAAGGCTGGAGGACTGTTGAGCAAATTTTACAGTAATATATATACACCAGTTCCTCAAAGCAATTACTTATTAGTTTCAGTATTTCCTATCTTTTCAAGTTTGGACATTATAAGACAAATAATGTTCTTTTAATGAGGAGTTTTTTGAGCCCAGCATATAATTAGCTTGATTTTAGCTGAATCAAGAGTATTTGTAAAAGCTTTGGACAGTTTCTGAAAATGCAAGCTAGTGCCTTTATATTTGCTGACAAAACTAATTGAGTTCCCCTCACTATGTTGTAATTTTCTGAACAAATCTCAGTCTGATTGTGTTACTGTCAGATATTCTCCAAGTTTGAACAAATTATCTGATCAATTTCAAAAGAAAAACAACTAGATGCAGTTGTCAGTTTTATGGAACAGACATCGAATTGTCATGTTTTACCAACCACACACTGATTTAAATCTCATTTCAAGTCTTATCATGGAGGAACAGAATTCCAATTAATTTAATTTAATACTGTGTCAGTTTTAGCTTTGTTATTTTCCCATTGAATTCTAAACAAATGACCGGGCAAGCAAACAGACCCCAATATACAAGAAAAATAAGAACTCATTCTGTTGCCTTGGCAAAGCTCAAAAAGATTATTTGTCTGGACACGTAGCATGTGGTTTTGATCTGCTTTTCCCTAAGCCTGTGCTGTACAGGAACATAGATATGCAAAGATGGATATACACACTCACTCAACAGACCAATATGTGCTTGTTTACTTTTTGTTACACTAGGCTATTGGCATTCTTAAGAAATTCTATTCTTATGGACTTTTGTTGCTGAAAACCATTCACCTAGGGCAAACAGAAGCTTGAGCTATAAATAAACAATTTAAATCTATACTACAGCTAGTTAAATTACATGCATGATTCTATAAGTAAATGGAGTGTCATAATTTTATACATTAGTAAACCTGTTAGGGAAAAAACAACACAAAAGCTGAGTTGTGTTTTCTAAGACCCGCAATATATCATTTGATAAATTACAGTTTGGAGTCTACTTTGTACCACACAAAGTAGAAGTCACAGAAGCTATTATCCTCAGAACTATTTATTTAGGTACCTCACTCTTAGTGATTTAATCTAAACCCTCTGAGGATCCAGGCAGAGCGCTCCTTGCTTGGCGTCTCTGCGCACACCGAGGTCAGATGCAATTTTAGACTTTGCCTCCCAGATAAAAAGCACTGCGATAGCAGCTGTTATCTTCTTGCATTCAGGGTTCGTGCTGCAGAGACGTGGCGGTCAGCGGGGTCTGGCTGGTACAGGAAGGTTTGCTGCCCTCAGAAGAAGAGGCACAATGGATGTGGCTGTGCCTGGCGCAGCTCCTGAGCCCTCCCCAGCACCCTGCAGGCGCTGGGCGTGCGGGGAACGCGCTGCGCTCAGCGGGGCCTCCCTGCCACATAGCCACAATGGATTTCTCACCAGCAAGATCAAAGCGCAGGCAATGAATTCAGAACAGAACAGTTTGGTCCTGAAACCCTTTTAGAACTCCTGGAACATGAGAAATTACATAGCATAGTGTATATTTGATTTTTCTATTTTATAGAAACTGAACGATTTCCTTTAAAAATGAACACTAAAATAGAACTGAAGGCTCCAAGCCTGGCAAGAAATTTAACCTGCAACTACAGTTGATTTGGGCTAGTTTTAAACTGAACACAGTGTTTTTTGATAAAAAGAACCCGTATCAAAAGGCAAAAAACATTTAAACACAGCCAAAATATTAAATAGGAGCATTCACTTGATTTCTACATTTACTCCTCACAGTCTTCCATCTCGTATATTTCTTGGCCATGACATTTCAGGTGACTAAAGTCCAATGCATACATACAGCGGCATTTTAAAGTAACATCTTCTAATCTCAGAAACAGAATCATTGATTCCAAAATCAGCTGTATATTTATCCAACCAGGCGAAGAAAACTGACTCTTTTGCCAATATCAGTTTGGCAGCACAGCTCGAATTTTCATTAGGCATGTTCCTCACAGGGGAAAAGGTGAGGGAAGGTTCAATGACTAATATTATTCTCTATCTCCCTTCATATAGAGACCAAATAAGCACATTGAACCCACAGCACTACGAAGGCCTAGAGTGATTGAGAGTTACCAAGGGTGGCTGGCACCCCATAGCCGATCAGTATTTTAAATTATCTTGTCTCAATGGTGCTAATCTTAAACAATTAGCAAGTGAGTTTTCAGCCAGATGCCTTATATCAAGGTCTGAACAATCTCGTGTTACCCTTTTTTGTTCATTTAAATAGAAGCAGGCAAAGGATTGCACTCTGACCTTCAATGCTCAGATTGGACTCAGTGCTTGTATCTGTCTTCCAGACTAAACTTGTATTACTCTGCAGCCTGTCAGATTATTCATATTCTGTCACAGCATGCATTTAACTTATTATATGATTATGTAAATATGAGCTTTTTTGGGGTGGATTTTATCATGTGTTACAAATGTTAGAAGCTGGTGCATTTGATGAAAATCATCATGCAGATTGAGTTGCCAAAGGAAATCAAACTTGAAATTGTAAACTTGGAACTTATATTAACATTTGCTTTTGGAAGATTTGGTTTACTGTTCAGCAAGAAAAGAGGAAAAGACGTACCATTTAATTCTTTAAAAATCTTTTTTCAAAAAAAAAAATCCTGCACTTCTTTCTAGATAGATTAAATACATATAAATGCAATTGTCTCCCCAGTGAAGGTTAATGATCTTTTACACACTTGTAAACTGATGTATCCAATACCTACACGTTGAACTTGTGCCTAGGGCAAAAGACAAAAAAAAAATAAATAAAAATTCAGAACCAAGGTGCCCTGCTTTACAGTTCACCATTGCAACTGCCAGTGTGGGGAGCCATAGAAGATCCACCTATATATTTTTATATCTTTTTACCAATAGCAGTTTTAATGCTATTAGCTGCTCAGGATACAGTGGGACTCTCACAGGTGCTGTACATACTTTCAGTTCTGGTGTGGTTTGGTGCCAAGGCTGATACTGGTAAGCACACTGCCACACTTGGAGCTGAAAGGAAGTAAAATATAAAAAGAACTTACTGAAAAGGATAAAGTTCTGCTGGGACTGAGCATTGTTGTCCTCAGGGAACAGTCATCTGCCCCTGGTCTTTATACACAAAATAATGCTTTCAAAATACCTATTTTACATGGTTTTTATGCAGACTAAAGAAATTGTTTGTGTGTACAGGGGTTTGGATGCAAGAGAAACAGACTCTCCTTCAAATGGCTCCAAATTTAAATCCAGAATAATTCCTT